ATGCAACACTTGAACGCCAGTTATGTTGTTGCTGCTGCCCTTGCCTCTCAAGTAAACATTAACGTGGATTTGCAGATTCTGCCTATTGCCAGACAGGTGAGCGCGTGGAGAGTTCCGAGTCAGGCAGGTCGCCCGAGGAAACGGCGGAAACAGGGGGTCGCAGCTCTTCAACGAAAGTCGCGTTGCTCTGCTTGTGGTCAAGTTGTGTACTACGCTAAGATTTGCGAAGCCCCAGATCTGGGGTTAGGCGTAACAAAAATTTCAAAATAAAAGTGGTACGTAACAAAAATTGTCTAAAGATAAAGCTTTACCCTCATGTCCCACCCAAATGTGATTCTCCCCCCCCCCCCCCCACCGCCCCCACTTGGAGCACACCACTTGGAGCACAAGACAGTCCCAATACTGTACCCTTGGGTACTGTACTGCCGTCCGTGTACAATTCTGTACGGCACCTGAATTTCAGCAGCCGCATTTCGAGAATTGTGCAAGCTGCACGTTGATGCACGTCTCCGCGCCGTCGATCAAGTGGCAAGCTGGCATTCGTCCACGCTTGCTTTTGTTATGGCCTTTTAATATATATATATTTCCATCCGTCTCACACTCTCGTCGCCAATGAATCAACCTCATCCACCGCTCCGCTTGTCCAATTTCCACCGCCCTCTCATCACACCGTTCCGCCCCCATTTTGCCCCCCACCCTTTCGTTCCCTTTTCCGCACGTCTTTTCTACCTGCCCAAATTCGCCCACTCCTTCCGCTCCATACCGTCAGTGTGAGGTCACAGTTTTCTCTCCTTCCTTCCCCGCCTTGATAGTCTGCTTTGCTCAGGGCGACAACATACTGCCGTGACCCTACACCTCCCCCTAACAAGAATCTTTTCCGCCTTTTAATATTGTTGCCTTGTCAACCCCGTCGATCTCTCTCCATCATTCATAGAGCACTGTGTATAATAGTTAGAAAACGCGGGAGTGCGGGACAGCGCGTCTGAGCACGCTGGCCAAACTTCTCGTCGACCACGCTCACGTCAAGAAATGAAGATTGTTGCAGTACCCTTCGCCACGGTACAAGTACGGTATTGTATATTGGTGGTGCCAGCAGTTGTTCACTGCTTTCTGCTGCGCTTCGAAGGGTGCTGCGCTTCGAAGGGTGCTGCGCTTCGAAGGGTGCTGCGCTTCGAAGGGTACTGCGCCAAGCACGCGTTGACCACGCGTTCACCGACATAAACGACATAATTTCTTTTAGTTTTTAACAGACCTCCGGAAACACTGCCCACGCCGCACTTCTCTGCGCCAACGATTGGTCGCCGCATACACGGCCAACCTACAATAGAGTACTGTACACGCTGTATATAAATAACACCGCGAAACCGGTTTGGTCATATGCAGTGAAAATGGACCAATTGTAACGTGTTTGTGGGCTTTCGCAGTGCGAGTGCTGTACCCGCACACACGCGTAAAATTTTACTGTACTGTACCAACTTCGCACCCACCGTCCTTCCTCTACACGATATGACAAGTCTGCTATTAATTGCCCCTAATTTAATTTCATTTTTCTCGTGCCCCCTGGACTGGACTGTCTAGTGCACTGCACTGCACTGCACTGCACTGCAGTAACCTTACAGTACCCTTTTACTCTATATCTTTGTCCTGTCCTGTCCTGTCCTGTCCTGTCCTATCCAGTCCAGTCTACTGTAATACCTGTCCAATTCAACACACCACTCTTACTAACAGGTAAACCGCCACACTTGTTCCGGTCCGCTCTCCTTTCCTCTCACTTCCTCTCAATTCCTCTCACTTCCTCTCACTTCCTCAAACCGCACCGAAATTTCGCATTGAAATTCTTCTCCTATGCACCGACGCAACGCCACATGTACCCTTCGAAAGATACCGTGGCTACCATTCGAACTTGACGACTTGCAATGAAGCTCCGATGCACTTGATCACCTCGTCAACTTTTCCGTCACTTCGCAGATCCATTTTTTATATAATTCGGTACAACACTGCGATTCAAACAATTCTCTTTCTCTCCAGCGTTATCGTCTCCAACATCGCTACTCTACGCTTCTGAAACATGATCTATGTGAGTTTCAACCCTCCTGCCTTCCATCCCTTTGCACAGTCATACGCAACGTCGAAACCTTCGGCGACCATCGACCCCAGTTCCTCATCCTCGACCTGAAGACTCGTGAGTTTGGCCCTGTCGCAGAACCATTCTATTTTCGCATGCGCACATCCATCCTCGCCTCCACGCTGGCTAGCTAGCACACAGACCAGTTTTCTCGTCATTGCACCTCAGTTGTTGTCAGCAAAACGGTCAGCCACCATCACCCCACCTTCGTCCATGATCACAATTTTCTCCAATGGTACAGATGCGGCAGCCCACGGCGAGCACACGGTTCGCGTGTCATTGGATATTCGCTTTCCGTTAACGCTGTAAATAGTTTACCCTCGCTCAGCTGATACGCACTCCCTGACGCCGCAGAACCCTCCGCGTCACTAGTCGATATTCAACCTGCCGTGACTAGTCGAATGCCCAGTTTGCATAGTCGTCTACAGACTCTTGCTGGCCGTTCCAATAGTCCCGTTGCTTGCTTTCATACTTGCGGGCACATCCTCCTCAGCCATCCTCCGCCTCCCACTCCCCGAAGGCTTGGGAGTCATGGGTCAACACTATAAGCACAACTGTCTACCTTGCTTCCCGTTCTTTTATCCGTCTCCTTGCTCACTCGCTATACAGTCTTGCTATGGAACCCTACAGTACATGCCTATTTTCTAGTCGCCAATCAAGTAGTGAATTAGTCTCTCATTAAATTCACTCAAACTTACTCTCATACAATCCATTTTTGGACTGTTACTGTACCTAACAAGAACGCAACATAATTGGGGATGCGCAATACTGTAACTATGAAAAGGAAATATTTGGATTGGGTAGTTTCTGTGTGCTTAGTACCTTCCACTGTAAATCCACCTGATTTTTCTTCTCAAACACAAACTCAATTATGCACCGCAATCCCTTTACTATAAGCCGCCGAGAAGAATGGTACACTAAAGTACTTCAGTGTACAACGCCCCGGCTCTAGACTCCCTTTCTCCATCCCAAAGGCGTCATGCTCTCGAGAGCCATGACAATATAAAGCATGCCTAAAAATACTGGACACTCACATGTCAGCCCCCATCATCCAACAAAAGTGTAGCGGTGAGCCGAAACTGCTGACCATAGCTGTTGACTGAACAAACATCTCAACTAGTTTATGCTACAAACTCCAATTCACTTGGCGTGGGTTGAATCGCACCCTCCCTCCCCTCTCGCAAGAAATTTCGGATACAAGCACGAGGGAGAAAATACGCCCTCGGTAGTGATAATGATAACGATAATAATAAATAAAATCTCCTCTCTCACCTTGAATGCCCTCAGCCTTCTCACAAATGCTTGCGTTTTTTAACGACTAATTTATATATATTTCGGCATCTTTCATGCGGACATGCTGCAAGCCATTAAGGCGTCCATGCGCTGTGCTAGCAGTCGCGCAGCAACAAGTACTCGAGCCTCTGCGGTATCTACTTCAAGTGACTTCTTTATGGCCCTTCCCCCCCACCCCCCCACCGTCCAAAATGCGCCTCTACAGTATTTCTGTTTATTTAAAAAAATGAAAGGAGCTCAACTTACAGATTTCTTTGCTCTCATAATATGATCATATTATGATCTTGTGGATGAGTGAGAGGGCCGCCAGATCATGGCAACCACAAGTTTGTCCAAGAGCTTTTTTAAGGTTTATTCAGCTCGGAGAGCTTGTTTCTAGCATTGGAACCGGCTTACCTCAATTTATGACAGGGTGCCAACTATAAGTCAGATCCCGAGATTCAAAGAATGCTCTCTACTCAGGTCCTGCATCCACCAAGGCAGACAAGTCATGTAAAACACCATCATTCAGATACACCTCGCACCCCTCCTGCTTTTTTTAAAGATTTTTTTAAAAAGTTTAACTAATCACTGAGGGGCTTTGATCTGAGCGTGCTCCGCAACAAGCGTGTTGCTCTCTGTAGCAGAGGTCCAGATCAAGCATTGATTTGCTCAGAACAACGATATCCGCTTGCTGCATGCATATCGAAACGTAACACCATTAGACACCACCCGTAAGAGAATTGACTTGATGAAGTGCGGTAGCTACAGAGAAGGTTGGGAGGGTGGGATGAGAATGAGACATTTAGGGAGCATGTCAAGAATCCGAGTCAAGGTCTATTGATCTATTGTGTTATTTTCTGGGTGCATCCAGAAATTGTTGATTTTATGCCGAGACAGAATGAGTTCAAGATCTGGTGCCCCTCACACTTTAAATAATTACAGAATCCACCAGACTGACAGAACCACATACTGTACGCGAACGAACGGTCAAGTCTTTTACGCGTCGGTGAAACCGCCACGAGAAATAGCGAATGAACGTCGAACAGTTGGCGTCAACCGAGCGTCGCCGTCTCGCTCTGCGTGCCCGCCGCCCCGTCGCCCCGTCTATCATCCCCCGCCCGAAAAGTGAATCACTGCTGTCAACTGAACCTAATTTTTTAATTGTATTTTCGATGAATGTCCTGTTTTGAGTATCCGTCTCTTATTGATGAAGGGTTGTATCATAACTGCTTGAAGTACAGTACACGCATTCCCGATGCCATATTCAATTCCAGCGCCACGAAATGCATCCTCGGTCTGGGTAACAGCATGCCCAGCAGTTGGGGTTTTTGGGTCCAATCTAAAAAATGGGACAAGAAATGAA